ATAAAAATAATGGTTTTATTTACATTACACTATTCATAAAATTGTAAGATTATATTATGCAACAATTTTACACATAAAATCCAAATTGTCCAGTAATTGACCATTCAAAGGTACATAAAAAAATTAGTCGACAGGTATAATTTTATTTAAAAATGAGATTTTTTTTCAAGCGTATAATAGTTTTCAAATTATTACACTCATTGATTGAATGTAAGAATGAATTGTTACATTTTTAATGTTTAAATTCAAATTCCGCCATTTGAAATAGTGTATATCCTTATTTCAATGAAGACGTTTATTATCATTATTATTATTATTTTAAGTCTATATTTCTATACTTCATATTAAGAAATGTCTTCAAAATTGAATACCTACATACCTACCTATATGATTTTGTGAGGCATTGGACACAAATATTTTTAGATTTTTTTCAGCACAGATTTTAAGAAAATAATTTTTAAAGTTACATTTGTTTTCATAAGGCTCAGTCATTTACTAACACTCGAAACAGCAAGACGTCTCGCATAGCGACCTCTTAAAACATAAAAGCTTAAAACCCACAAATAATTACTTAAGTGCAAATAAAATATAGTTTAACATCTATAGTGAGTACACTGAAAAAAATAAGCTGTTGAAACAACAAAAAAAATATGAATTCAACTCTTTATGCACTTTAAATACAAGCAATGGTTTTTGCACGTTTACTTAACCATATAAAAATGTCAAATTGTATTCTTTAATTGAACAACAAATATTAGTCAAATGAACAAAATGAGAATATTTGTTTTAATGTGCTAATCTGGTTAATTAAACATTCTTGAAATGCCCAGGTAACCTTTTTAGCATATTTACTTAACACCAATAAAATGTTAAATTAAAAAAAATTGCGCTAATGATGGGTTAACATTCTGAAAATGTAAAAGTAACATTCTTTAAAGGTTGGTATTCAAAAACAAAAATATGGAATTAATATAAAGAGAAAGAATTGAACCTTCCCTCGCAAGAGTTTTTGTTTTGAGTGCGTTCCACCTACTTCAAATACCTACCGACAGACAGCTGATTCGACCTATATTGAGGGTCTTATCAGTGTCGGGCAATTTGGTGTAGTGGAAGTTTCACTGTGGAACACACCCAAAACAAACGGCTACCTGAGCTTATATACTCCTATCGTAAGCCAACTGAGGCGAGATGTAAGAACATCACGTGATCAACACCGTCTAATGACGTGGCGTGGGTGTTCGAAGCGCCCTTCACGGCAATTTTATGAATGCAAAATTAACAAATTTTAAAGTAACATTTACAATTTGTTAAATGAACAAATTTAATGTTTTGGATTTAAAGGAGCAACTAAACGTTAATTTAATAGTTTTTTTAGGTAATCCTAAAAGTTTCAGTATTTGATTCAACCAATTCCAGCTATTAAATCAAAATAGAATAAACATTTTAATACAAAAAATTAGTTTATGTTAAATCAATATTTTAACTGTCAAATGAACAAATAAACTTTGAATAAACTCTGACTATTGCTTTGACACCAAAATATAGATTAATCCAATAGGTTTTTTGATGAAACAACATTTTCAAAAATGACATTTAGGCAAACGTTAACTCAACTACATTATTTTTTTCGTTGTAGAGACTACCCTACGCTCAATAAAGTGATAATTGTCAGGTGGTCGTAACCTTCTGTATGACGATTTTTACGAACTCCGTAGAGTAATCCCAAATGTTTGGAATCATACTGACTGCTTGGTCAAGGGGGTTACCGCGTCGTACTTAGATTTGAGTCGGCGTAATTGTCCCCCAAACACCAAAATGTCCTGACCCTTCTGGGCGTATAGCATCAGCCTGGCGAACCCGGGAATGGCTATTAAAACTATTGGGATTTCGATCTCGAGCCCTAAATAGGGCATCGCAATGAATATTAGCACCCAGCAAACACGGATGAAGCCGTGCCGTTGCTGGTGGCAAAAGTAAATCTGCGTAAGGAAACAGAGGCCTGTGCGGGACCGATGAGGCAATGGGCCGGTTATACGTCTCTTATACTAATACTCATACATTTGTTTTCATACTGTACAATGTAATAATTTTTTCAATCATATTTGGATTCAGCAACCCCAAAAACCCCTTAATCCATATTATTAAAATATCAAAAACTGATTATCATAAACCATGCTATCTATGCTGATTATGTCAGGAAAAAAAATAATTAATTTATTAAGACATCACCCTGACTAGTGCACATTTCTTTGAAACTTAAGTTTTTGTTTGAAATTTAGCAATTCGTACGAATTGCCAAAAGTTAAACAGTCATCATTTATCAATGCCTTAATATAAAGTGACCAGATTCTGTCAAAAAATAGGGGGAGAATTTGTGTAAAATAACCCGAATTGCAAAAATGAATGAAATAATCAACAACGTCAAAATTATAATTTGCATTGTATCATTGTGTCAATTTTGTAATTAAGGTAAACTCATACAAAATGTTCCCAAATTTTTGACAGAATCTGTTAATAAAATGGCACATAAGTTGAAATTTTCCGCTTAATTGGTGATGATGAAAGATCTACGCGTCAGGTTGCTCGAATATTTAATCAGCATCATCATGATCGTGCACCAATTTGGCCCAAAACCGTTGGTAACATCAACAAATTGTTTGCAAGAACCGGAGCCGTGTTGAAAATAAGACCAAGAAAGTACAAATTAAATCGACGACATTATCCAGACGACGAACGCATTTTAGCAGAATTTCGGAACAATCCAAATGGTAGTATAAGGGCAGTTGCGAGGACACTAAATTTAATCAAAAATAAAATATGAAGGAGTTTGAAGCCCAATTTGTTTGCATTGTATCATTGAGCCAAAACTACATACCTCTCTTTTGAACGACGGTTTGAATTTTGCCTATGGTTGCAAGGGAACTATCTTAACGATAGGTATTTTTTAAAAAACATAATGTCTACTGACGAGGCAACATTTACCACAATCGGTGTGGTCAAAATTCTAGATATTGGGCATCCGAAAATCCCAACTTTGTAATTAATTGTAAAAACCAATATAGTCAAAAAGTTAACGTGTGGTGTGGCATATTAAACGAACGAATTGTTGGCCACTTTTTCCTCGATAACCTCAACGGAGAAAATTTTCTACATTTTTTACAAAATGACTTTCATGATTTTTTAATGGAATTGCCTTTAGCACAGAGAAAAAAATTATACTTTTAATTAGATAGTGCCCCCACACATAATTCCCTGATAGTGAGAAATTTTTTAAATGAAAATTTCCCTATGAAGTGGATAGGTAGAAATGGTCCTTTAGAAGCATGGCCCCCCAGATCGCCTGATATTACCTCTTGTAATTTTTTTCTATGTGGGTACTTGAAAAATTAATAAAACCTCTTCCCAAAAAAGAAACAGCCCTTCAAAGTTCAGTTTTGAGAATAGTCTTTTTGTCATGACTCTCATACTGTTTAAGGGATTAAATATGGCACATGGACTCATAAAATAGACACTCAACACTTGATGTATTTTTTGTTAAATTTTCCCTGTTGCTTCACTTTTTTTTTAATCTATTTTTACTACTTCTGCAGAAGTAATAATGTCCAAGGACAAAGTATAATAATATTTTTTCCCCTACTATAACTTTAGTAAAAAAATATATATAGCAGTATATATACTATACACATGTTTTTTTCAGTAATATATTTAAAACCTATCTTTAACTGTATAAATTTACAATTTAAAAACAACAAAACTATATTTTGGATAACTATTTAACCAAAAAATATGTAAAAGAGGTACACTGTGCGGTGCAGCATGCTGGCGATTATATAATCTCTTGCTCGCGATACTGGGTTAATGGCTGTCGAGCCGGTGAAAAATCGGAGCAATACGTTTTAACGTTATTTTTTATGCATTAGGAAAGGCGTACGTATGAAATATGCTTGCCGTGTGAATCTGCACCGGGCTGAGCAGCAACACCGCGGCCCAGCCCACAGATCTAAACCAATTTATTTCAAATTTCATATATGTAATTTTATGTTATGTAAATATTACTTACTACTCTCATAGTACTACGACATATTGATGGTTGTAATGTTTTGGGATATTTTGAAATTTTGCTACATTTTTTATAGCAGATGTTTCTCAGAGAAATTTATTATATATTTTTACTTTTAGTTGGATTATCTATTACAAAATCAAACATTCTTCTATTTAACTGTATTTAAATCATAAATTTTCCGATTTTCAATTTTTGCTTATAACGTTTCCCACAATTAATTAAACGTAAATTATTATAGATACTTAACATTAGCAATAACAAACAGGTGATCAATTGCAAACGAACTGAAAAAGATTATTCAAAAATTATCATATACTACCATAAAATTGAACCTCCCTTTCCCCAAAATTAAGGTATTTCTTTCAATGAAAACTATTATTGTTCCAGTAGTAGCTTACATTGATAATTTTTTTAGCATATAATATCTTAATTCCAAGTGAGTGTAGAGCAAAAAATACTTTTTTTGTAAACTGTATACCTAAAATAACCCTTTCCTATCGCATGGCATAGCGTAATTAAAACCTTTTGGGAACAACCTTTATTTTATAACTGTTTTGTTTTTTTCTTCTATTTATAAATTTTTTGAATTTAAATAATTGTTAAACATATTACGAACTTTTTGAATTGCTTTTCTTTAATTTTTATGGATTACATAAAATCATTTTATAACTGAAACTTATAGACCGATTTTTTTTTAAATTATACCAATTTTTAGCAATTAATATTAGACCACATAATGCTTCCGCCGAATTGGTCAATTATCCATCTATTCGTAGGCCTGAGGGCAGTTTGGGGACTCTATCTCATCAGATGCAATGGGTGAAAGGTGTGTACAAATTGGGGGACACACCTCCCTATTTTTAATAGATATAAAAGCAAAAGTCCAAACTGTAGCATCGTCCATTTCACAGTGAGGCTTTCTAAGAGTGACAACAGCATGGTGTCGTTTAAAGTAAGTGTACATATGTTATTTACTTTGTAATACTTTTTAAAAATATTACTTTATAGTTTACAGTATTGGCAGCTATCCTGGCGGTTGTTAAGGCTGGTGATTATACTCATGGTCCACAAGTCTTCCGGAGTTATCAAGCTCCTGTAGAAAAATACTCGTCAGCTCCAGCTGTATCATACTCTTCGATCTCATCCCCAGTTTTAACCAAAACTGTACAACAAGTACAATATGCTCATGCACCTGTAGTACAACAATATGCTGCTCCAGTTCAAGCTTACTCCCATCCAGCACCTGTGGCTTATGCACAACAAGCCCCAGTATATGCTAAAGCTGTAATTCAAGAACCAGACACACCACCTCACTACGACTATGGTTATTCCGTAAACGACCCTCATACAGGCGACAACAAAATGCAACAAGAGACGCGTAGAGGAGACGTAGTACAAGGAATGTACTCCTTAATAGACGCCGATGGTACCAAACGTACCGTACAATATACAGCTGACTCGCACAACGGGTTTAATGCTGTTGTACATAGAGAACCATCTAATGCACATGTCAAAACTGTTGCTCCAGTTATAGCTAAGGTGGCGGCTCCTGTTCATTATGCTCCAGCTCCACAGTATACTCAAGTTCAATATAACCCAGCTCCTGTTCTCAAGTCTTATGCGGCTCCTGCTCAATATGCAGCTCCAGTACAGTATGCTCCAGCTCCAGTTCCAGTTCATTACAACCCAGCTCCAGTACAGTATGCTCCAGCTCCAGTTCCAGTTCATTACAACCCAGCTCCAGTACAGTATGCTCCGGCCCCTATAGTAAAATCGTATCCAGCTCCGGCTCAAGTTGTGGAAACATATGCTCAAAATCCAGCTCCTGTTTTAAGATATACCAAAACACCGGACATTCAGTATTCGCAAGCTCCAGTAGCTCATGGTATTACATACGCCAATCCACAACATTAGTGTGTTTTTTGTATTATTATTATTATTTTTTGTGAGGTTATTGTTATTTTTGTATATAGTTAATATTAAGAAATAAATAAATGGTTTTGCTTCCATGAAATTGATTTTTAGGTTGGGTAACGTACATTTAATTAGAGATATAGATTAATTCATATGGTTTATAAACCTAATAATAAAATGGAAATGTGGATAGATTAATTCATATGGTTTATATACCTAATAATAAAATGGAAATGTAGCAATTTTATTGGGAATTTAATGGAAAATTAAATACTTTTAATAGTTTAAAAAACTCATCTATTACAAATATAATAAAAGTTATTTTTTCAAACGGATTTACATTCTTAAAAAATATTGTTTAAAATAACAGTCATGGAGTTTTATAGTTTTTCAATAAACAATAATTTTCTTATGAATAATAAAAATTGAATTGTATTTAAAAAATTTACCATACGATGGTCGTTGTGGCTTGTGTGGCCATTATGCCTATAGACTGGAGGTGGGAACTATCGAATGAAACTATCGATGAATCGAATGAAACTATCGATGTATCGATAGTTTATAAAAATTATTTTACTATCGAACTATCGATGTTTTTCATAAATTAATTAAGTATTATAAATTTTATCATTTAATAAAACTAATTGAAAAGTGATCCTATAGTCGTGTAGGGTTAAATTGATGTTAGGTTGGTAATACCAACTTGGTATTTAACGACTGTTCGTTGATACACTAGTGTATCTTTCGACCAATGAGATTTAAATATTGCTGCACAAACAAACACCAGTGAAGATAAACTAGGGATCAACGAACAAACCTTTAAATTTGCACTACAACAACTGTTTGACCCCCCTGAAGACGGAAGCGTTTTCAGTTTGAAGAAGAAGAAAAAAAACTGTTTGACTTTCTTTGTGTACTCGCGGTGCTTTTAAGTTTATATTATAATATTATTATTTATAAATTAAAGTGCATCCCAAAATAAATGGATTTTTTTAAAATTGAGTCCAATTTAAAAATCCCGATATATCGGGAATTTTTAAATTAGACTAGTATAGTACTATCGATCTATCGATAGTTTTAGTCAAGTACAATCGAACTAACGAGTGGACGCATAACACCTACGTATTATAATGACGAGGATAAAAAACCTGGAATCTCCTTTCTTAGGTAAAATTATCTTTTACAAATGAACCAACCTTTCACACGTAAAAATCTATATTATTAATTAAAAGTAATAAATCAATTTATTTTAATTAGTATCTGTTAAATCAGTTCCTAAATAAACAAATAGGCGGTCTTTCATTCAGAATATTCTTATTTATAATTAAATTATGTATAAAACTGTTGACATTTCGCTTCCTTTTAGATTTTTACTAATTGACATAATAATAAAATGGATCACTTTTGGTATTTCTTTTATTTTAAACATTTTCTTAAAATAATGTTACCAGCATAGTAACAGAATGGAGTTAATAAACCGAACATATAAATGTGATGATCTTCCTTAAAAATAAAAATAGTTATAGGAAAAAATGGAAACAATATTTATTATCCAAAATTAGTGTACCAAATTAAAAAAATATGTATTACAAAAAACGGTGTTTATATTTAAATCAAATTATTTTTTAAACTAAAACATGTAGACTTGTATTTATAAATTTTCTAATAAATAATTCCTACTTATTTTAATAAACGCTACGATAAAACGTAACATTTATTCAAAATACTGCCAATTAACCGAAAATATTGCTCTCATAATCCCACGTATCTCAAAATTAAGATGTTAATTCAATATAAAAAGCATTATATAACCGCCAAATAAGTACAATGCATCGGTCTGCATTCGACTTGACATTGGCCCTTTTTTAAAAACCAGTCGCCGGGCCACAAAAAACAAGAATTTTCAATCGGCTGCACTGTTTTATAATAAGCTATAATGTCACAGGACAAAATTGCACAAAAACAATATCAGGTGCATTTCCACCACTCTGTTAATTTTATGGTATAAATTTGGGGGTTTTCGTTGAAGAAGGCACAGTCAAATTTTGTGTACAGTGATCAACATGGCTTTCAAAGTAAGTACTATTTTTGGATTTTATTTGTAAAATTTTTAACATTTATATTTTTAAACTTTTAGTTCGTTGTTTTTGCCGCCTTCGTATCTCTAGCTCGTGCTGGAGGTATTGGTCTTGGGGTAGCTCCAGCTATCTCATACTCCAGCATTTCTGCTCCAGTCGCCTCACCCCTATCTTATTCTCTCCCAGCTCCTTCTTACGCTCTTCCACAACCGATTGTACAGAAAGTCGCCACACCTTTATCCTACTCTCTTCCAGCACCTAGCTACGCTGTTCCACAACAGATAGTACAAAGAGTACAACCTTTATCTTACTCTCTTCCCCAACCAATTGTACAAAGAGTGCAACCTTTGTCTTACTCAGTCCCACAACCAATTGTACAAAAAGTAGCACAACCTTTGTTCGCTCCACAAGCTTACGCCCAACCCCTCATCCAAAAAGTTCACGCTCCCATTCTAGCTCCACAAACCTACACTCAAGCCATCGCCACACCTCTAATCCAAAAAGTAGCTGCTCCAGTCGTCACCAAAACCATCGTTGAAGCTCCAGCACAATACGACTTCGGTTACTCAGTAAGCGACCCCCATACAGGAGACATCAAGGAACAACATGAATCCCGCAACGGAGATGTCGTACAAGGAAGCTACTCCTTGGTAGAAGCTGACGGTACCAGAAGAATTGTGGAATACACCGCTGATGCCCTTCAAGGTTTTAACGCTATTGTACACAAAGAACCAGCTTCAGTCGCACTTAAGACTGTAGCTCCAGTGGCCCAAGTTGGTTTAGCTACCCAAGTTAGACTAGCTGCACCTGTAGCTAAAATCGCAGCTCCTTTAGCTGCTTACCATCCACAGGGAGTTCTGTTGCATTAAGTTATTGTATGTTGTTGAGGAAATATAACCTGTTTTACGTAATAATCTGTTTTATTTATTAAGTTTAGCATGGGTCTAAAAACTTCTATTGTTAAAATCGGACTATAACTTTCCGAAGGTTCTTGAGAAATTCTATTGATAGAACTCTTTAAACCATCTAAAACTAATACAATTCATTTTTAAATTCATTTTTAAATTATTCCAGTATCTTCTTCCCTCTTTAAGATTTAATTAGTTAAACCAAAATTATGAATTTCAAAGAGTAAAACTTTTAGATGGTGTTTAATAGAAAAAAATAATGTCTTGTTTAAGTTTAAACATTTTGCACACCTGTAGATTATAGAGGTAATGATGCGTGAAGGTGTTAATATCACACTTTTGTTTATGTAATTTTCTTGTGTATGTACAAGGTCACGGTCAAAAATAAGGTATTTAGTTCAACGAGTCTTGAAGAGAAAGTAAATTAAAGTAAATGTAACGCATGGTTTCGTAAAAAAATATTAAAATTTTAACAATTTTCCAGACGAATTCTGTAGGTGTTTTAATGAAATAATTAATTTTAATAGTTGTATAATACTCAAAGTTGTTGAGGAAGGTCATTGTTTAGTATAAATATGCATTTTATTAAAGAAAATAATTTCATTTTCCTTTTTTATATAGATGGTCTTGCCTTTTATACTAAATTTAAATTTAACTAAAAAAATTAAAATAAACACTGCCCAAAAATGTATTTAGTTACATAATAAAATACTAATTCAAGTAATTAAACAAAAAAGAGTTACCTTCTATAATTAAAATATTATTTCTTTGTAGGAATTAAAATAATTATTTTTAATTATTCAGGCCAATTTGTAATGGGTCAATGATTATCTGTGAAATCACGCCTCTTCAGAATATAAATCACATTAACAATTAAATTTGTATAATCGAAAAACTTCAAGAAATTAAAGTCAAGCAAAATTTTTATTAACAAGATTTATTAAAGTATACCAAGGTAAAAACATTATAAATTTAAAAGCTAAAAGTGTTGTAAAGGTTCTCTCCTTACCACTGCATTAAATCCATTTTTTGAATCTGCAGTATATTCCACAATTCTTTTGGTGCCATCAGCATCGATTAGGGAATAGAAACCACGTACCATATCCCCATCACGGGTTTCTTGGATGTTTTTGCTGTCCCCTGAATGAGGGTCATTAACGGTATACCCATATTGATATTGACTTGGAGTCTGTGGATAATTTTGAACTTCACTCTGAAAATTATCTCTATAGGGAGATGCAGTTGATTGGACATAAGTAGAAGTGTATTCTAAAGGGTAATATTTTTGGGGAAATTTTATTTTATTCGTTGGTATTCTTGATGGTAACTGGCCAGGTCTCTTTGCATACTTTGCTATGGTGTGTTTGGCATACGCACCAAGTCCAGGAGTTTTAGATTCGTACCCTGCATGACCCAAGGTGAAGAAAATTGAGAAAATAAATACCTGAAAAAGTAATTTTTTATCAAACAAACTTAGGATGTTTTAAAAGAAGCTTACCTTATGCAACATTATGAAGGTTAATACAAAAATGAGGAACCAAAGCCTAGTGAACCGCTTTATAAGTGAATTGTTGCGAAATATTGTAATTACACTATTGCTTTCACTGAATTATTGTTTGTCTTTAATTTTTCTGTAATTTAGCCTAAAATAATTAATTTTTATAATTATTTTTATTTATCTTAATAATATCAACTGAAGCTTGATATAAACGTTTTAAAAATTTAAATTTAAGGTAGAATATAACGTTCTTAAGATTGATAATTTAAACTACAATGTTTTTGTTTTAAGAATTTCAACTTAAGCTTGACATACTTCTTTTATTAATGTCAATTTAAGTTAAACAAAATTTAAGAATTCACAAATATATATAAAGTTTATAAATAAAAACATTTTGTTATTTTTAAATAATAGCTTACATTACATGCTTGTTGAATAATAAAATCTTAATATTTATTTTTATTCATTTTTAAAATATCGTTACGTAAAACGGAACCACTTATGTATTCACCTGGTTCCTTAAAAAGCGTGAATAATCCAAAACTTACTTACCACGTATTTTAGACACGCCGCATATTTAGTGAAAATGTAATAATTTGAAACATTTTTAAAATTCGCAAAGTTTCTCGTAAAATTTATAAAAATTGAGTAATAAAACAATTAAGAGCAATTATGGTGCGCGCACTTAAAGAAAGTGGTATTTTATTGTCCTTATACGAATCTTGATTTGTGTTACGCAAACCTTAAGGAGTCGTTTAATCTAATTCTTTCAGCGGAAATGATACAAATATTTTAGTATGACTTAACTTAACCTTATTCCATTTTAAAAAATACCCAAGCAAACAAAATTAATACCTACTAAATATTGGAATATTTGTATAAACAATTTTCTCAAAAAAATTTATTTGTTAAGTAAATATACAGGATATCCTTTAAAAAGGATCGTTACTATAGTCAAAAAAATTGTTTATATTTTTTAAGATATAAAAAACCTAAGTCAAATATAATTATATATATAGTTATTCATTTTAAAAAATGTAATTGAGCTTCTCAAGTTAAAAATAGTCCAATTTTTTTTAAACAGTCTCATGAAACGAAAACCTTGATACATACGATGTTATCAGTAAATTGTGTGTGATGTTATGTCACTAATATAAATAGATCATTCATAATATTATATTTTATTATAAAATTAACCTTCGATTAAGTAATTAAATTCGGTACATTCCTTAAGGCCCATTCAATGTCCCAATGAAAGTATATCAAATAAAAATAAGATTACTTAAAGCTATTACCACGCCCAAACAGAAAGATTTTAAGTGGTAGTATATATAGGCGCTTATATGTCTAGCTAAGACAGTATCTACTTGTTTACTAGTGACACAAACATGGCATTCAAAGTAAGAAAAGATTATATTACAATATTTACAATTAATAATAATAATTATTTTCAGTTCGTAGTATTCGCCGCCTTCGTAGCTGTAGCTCAATCCGTAATCGTAGCTCCAGGATACCAAAGTTACGCCGCTCCAACTGTCCACCATGGATACGCCGCTCCAGTAGTAGCCAAATACTCAGCTGCCCCCGCAGTGGCCACCTCTTACTCCTCAATTGGACACGCCGCCCCAGCTTACTCTCACGGTTACGCCGCCCCAGTAGTGGCCAAATACTCTGCCGCTCCAGCCGTAGCCTCCTCTTACTCTTCCATCGCTCACTCCGCCCCAGCTTACTCACACGGATACGCCGCCCCTGCCGTAGCTGCTTACGCCGCCCCAGTTGCCAAAGTAGCCTACGCTCCAGTCCAAAAGACAATATACGCCGAACCAGAAGCACCAGCTCACTACGACTACGGATACTCCGTAAACGACCCACACACCGGGGACAGCAAAACCGCTCAGGAATCCCGCAACGGAGATGTCGTCAAAGGCTCTTACTCCCTCATCGAAGCTGACGGTTCTAAACGTATCGTAGAATACACCGCTGATGCCCACAACGGATTCAACGCCGTAGTCCACAGAGAACCAGCTCAAGTAGCCGTCAAAGCCATCCAAAAAGTAGCCGTAGCCGCCCCAGTAGCTCACTACGCCGCCCCAGCTTACTCTCACGCCGCCCCAGTCGTAGCCAAATACTCTGCTGCTCCAGCCGTGGCCACATCTTACTCCACCGTAGCTCATGCTGCCCCAGCTTACTCCCACGGTTACGCCGCCCCAGTAGTAGCAAAATATGCTGCCCCAGCTCCAGCTTACTACCACTGAAATGTTTGATGATTGTACATAATTATTTATTTTATTATTTATTTTTTGATAATATAAGAAATTTTGAGCATTTTTTTATTTTATTTGGTCGAAAAAAGCTATTTTGACTATACTAAATTAAGAGCAATAGCTTCTCTTACTTATACAACATATACTTATTGGTTATCTCCTAAAATTGGTTTATTGAGTTTAATATTTTATCATAATTATTTAATAAACTTAAATTCGCATATTCCAATTTAAAAATAATTACGTATTGTGTATTAGGACCGCAAATTGATATATTGTCGGTCTGAGCGAGATGTTTGACGACTATCTCGCGAGAGCGGTAATGTCACTTTGCGCTCAAATTACACACAGGATTTTTTCTACAACAGTTGCACTTTTCCGAGAAGCTTAGTTACCATGGAAACCATAAGAAAGTAACGTCTAGTGTATCAGCGATTTTTGACACAAAAATTAAATTTGAGGTTATTAATTTTTACCAAACATTTTTATAAAAACAACTGTTGTTTTTATAAAAATGTTTGGTAAAAATTAATAACCTCAAATTTAATTTTTGTGTCAAAAATCGCTGATACACTAGACGTTACTTTCTTATGGTTTCCATGGTAACTAAGCTTCTCGGAAAAGTGCAACTTTGTGCTTTGTTTTGGAAGCGCAAATTTGTACCTACTTTTTGCTTGGTTCTAGAAACAATAATTTTTGGGACCACATTTCAGTTTATATTCTTGTGAAATTATTCGTATCGAATTTGCCATAATATTTTGAATTGGGATCATGACACTGAAATTTTAATGAGCTGAAATTATGTAAATTTCTTTAGGCTACATATATGTTTTAATAACTTGTTATGCTTATTATGTCAATTTAATTAAAGTTTTAATAATTATTGACCAATTCCACGTTACTCGACCATTTTTGTCGCGTCCGTTATAATAAAAAATTTTGAGGGTACTTTTTATTGTTACGGATGCGACAAAAATTGCCGACTAAATTAAATGTAGAATTTTGAAGCCATTCCATGGTAATTATTAAACGTGTTTTGACTTAAAATTCAGAAGAACGACGTTCCGTATTTTCATGATTATTAATTATTTTGATCAATTTGTTTGCTGTTTTTAAGTTTCGCTCAAATTTTCTCTTCCAAATAAAAGTATTAATTTTAAATCCATATTTTGTGTCGTCCGCAAAGTCCCGTCCGTTATCGTACTTTAATTTAATCGGACATTTCGTAAAAGAATCAATAACAAATTTTTAGTATCTTTAGTTTGGTGAAGAGCATTCGATATATCTTTGATTATAATTATTATTATTATTCACAGATTTTTGCTGATATTTTACAAGTAAACTTTAATTTATTATATATATATATATATATATATATATATATATATTTTATCCGTTATCAGTAAAGATGGGATATTTAGGTACTAAAAACTGAAAAATAGGTAACTAAAAAGGTACAGTGGCGGACACGGAATTTTGAAGAACAATAATCCCGTTGAGACTTTCTTTATGGACTTAACTTAACTTTAAGGTAATTACTTCTGGTTATCACTAGATTTGTCATTTTGGCAGAAAAAGCAAAAAAGTCAATATTGTATCTTTGCTATTCACAGATTTATACATGGTCAACCAAATTATGACGTTCAAAATTCCGTGTCTGCCACTGTATTAAAAAAAAGCATTTTAGGTTAAAAAAACAGCATTTTAGGTAACAAAAAATATTAAAAGTTCACGTTTCGTTTATAATTTTGTTTAGCTGCATACCCAAACATAGAACATACCCACAATAAACTATTCCTATGCAATAAACTGTGTTTCACTGAGTGACACTCACTACACAGAAGTTCTATGACAGAACATAAGCTCACTACAAAGAAGGTAACTGTAAAGAAAGTTACTGTTATAGTCTGTGACCATAAGAAAAAATTCTATAGCGTTGAGTTGCACTCCCTGGATAAAATATTGGCGCAAAATTTAAAAAGAACACAAAAAAATAAAATAAGTAAAATTACGTAATAACAGGTACATATATAACAAATAGGTGAAAATAAACTGACAAATTAAAAAATATGTAAAAAAAGTATAAAAAGGTAGTTTAAAGCAAAAACCTCCCAAAAAGGTAAAAAAGGTGAAAACAAGTTAGGTTCATATAAAAGAAAATCTTTTAAAACACATTTTGTCATTATTGATTTTCAAATAGTTACATCGGTTGAAAAAAGGTAAAATAACTAAAATCCCATCCCTAGTTATCCGTTTAAATAACCTTTTCTAGACAAATTATAATTATACCTTTATCAAGTCTTTCTCTATAGAGGAATATATTTAAATTGTCAATTATACAGAAAGACTTGATAAAGGTTTTCATAAATATCATCGTTGACAATTAGTAATTTCTTGGCATGATTGGAATGGCATAATATATGATCTGCTTTAACTATATTAGAAATATATAATATATATATATATATATATATATATATATATATATTTATAAAAGTGGAAAACGAGATCCATGTATAGATGTCTAATACGAGATCCACCATAAAATTTTGTTTTTTTCTTGAAATACCTTTAAAAACCTTAAAATTTTAATGATAACCAAATTTAATTTTACAAATATGTCTTAATATAAATGCTTTTGGAAAACCCATTGGCAAAATTAAACCTGTTTATTAAGAGATCCTAAACCCTATGTATACATCGAAAATTAGAAGGAAAGCGAGATCCGACGGTGTTGCCATATTTCGGATCTCCTTTGATCTTGATAAGAATAGTATATATAGATAATCTATTTTATGTATTATAAACTTAAAATAGAATCGGAATTAACAAGAGATACACCATTTAAAGCGCACAAAAAAGCTGTAATTTTACGAAATTATACCGGACGTTTTGAAGCAACAATTTTTGTTCCAGTAAAAATTTATTAAAAGAAAAACACCAGAAATAAATATTTTTTATTAACTCAGAAACATATATAAAATAATAATAATAATAAAAAGTTTAAATAATCCTGTAAAAACTGATTACATAATCTAACGGAAAAATAAACTTAAGAAATATAAAATAAAAATTATGCAGAACAGATCATATTTTAAAAAACGTCTTATAACTTTTTTGATCAAATGCTCCTCAAAATATTTTTTTCTACCCCAGCCGCTGCCCCCACAACCTAGAAACCTAAAATTGCTAAAAATGGTCGATCACTCAATGTAGGTGCAACCAAGTAAGTTGTTTCAAATGAACCCGAAATTTTTTTTCCGCCCCCGCCGCCGCCTCTAAAAGTGAGAAACCTAATAAAAAATGCTAACAATAGGTCGAAAAATAGTCGGCCACTCTACGGCTGATCAGTGTAGGTGCGGTCAAGTGAGTTTTATCGCACACCAAAATATTTTTTAATTATTATATTTTTATATACCTATTAAAAAAATAATTTTTGTAAACAAAATAACAAATATTAAATATTAATATATTAAAAAAATAATTTTTGTAAACAAAATAACAAATATTAAATATTAATATATTTAAAAGTAAAAGTATTATACATAATTAAGTTTTACATTAATATTTTCTACCTTCAGTAAATTTGTATTCTTCATATTTTAGGGCATTTGATAAAACTTACTTGCCCGCATTTATAATACTTAGTTACACTGAGTGGACGCCATTTTTTAGTATTTTTTATTAGGAAATAAATTATTTCGTGGTGCATTTGATACAACTTACTTGGATGCACCTAAAAAAACAACTAAGTATTATTTGAATTAAATGCATATACCTAAGCTCCATGGTTAAATGACCCATTAAACAAATAAAGATGCAAACAGTTTAGCTTAAAACAGCAACACAAATAATATATTCAACTTTAAAATATTACAATATTTATTGACAAATAAAATTGATTTTTAAAAGAGCGGCTGATGGCCGAATATGTTATGACAAAAGCTTGACAAGCTTGACAAGTGACAGACCTGAGTTCAATCCCCAGATGGGTCAAAACTTTTTTAAAATTTAAATCTACTAATTAGTGACTGCTTTTTCGCTATGACAATTAGTCAAATATGACTTAATAATTAATTATAATTAATTATTAATTACCCTGCTGAAAAAAACTGATCGAAACTCGATCTTTTTTTATCATATTTGATCATGGTCCAGAAAATTCTCGATCCTTTTTTATCATATTTAATGAGGTTCTAGAAATTCTCGATCCTTTTTTATCATTTTCGATCAGATTTCGTAGTCGATCCTATTTGATCATAAAAACACGATCGAGTTTCGATCCTTTTTTATCATATTTGATCAGATTTCGAAGTCGATCATATTTGATCATGAAAACACGATTGAGTTTTGATAACATATTATCGAAACTCGATCGTGTTTTCATGATCAAATATGATCGACTACTAGGTTCTTGAAATTCTCGATCCTTTTTTATCATTCTCGATCAGATTTCGAAGTCGATCCTATTTGATCATAAAAACACGATCGAGTTTCGATCCTTTTTCGAACATTTTTGATAAGGTTTTCGTGGTCAAAAAGGATCGTTTCGATCCTGTTTTCATGATCAAATAGGATCGAGTTTCGATCCTTTTTGATAACGAAAACAGGATCGAAACTCGATCCTTTTTCGATCATTTTCCATAATGTTTCCATAATTAATTCTAAAATAAAACATGAAAACTTTATTGGGCACTTTCAAAAAGATCGGATGACAACGATGATGATGATGAAATTCGTAATTATAATTACATTTCCTTATTATAAGAAAAAGTAGTATTATGTACTACTTTTCATGCGCTACCTTATGATGATTAATTAATGATACGAGGTATTGCGCCTAGGCCATCGATATATTTAAATTAAAAAAAGTTCCAATAAAATAAAATCTTGACATACTTGTCTAGGGAAATGTAGGGATTTTTTTGTAAAAAATCTGGGGAAATAAAAAAATATCATCTGGCAACCCTGTCTGTAATGTGTCTATAATCTGTGCACGTGCTTGTCATGTTGGTTAGTGTTTTTTGTTATCGATTTTACGGTTTTACTGTGGGTTTTTCTTTACTATAATAATTAAAAATTCGATGAAAAGTACTGATTGCCATCAAACAAAAAAAACTGATTCCCGAGTTGCGGCAATTTTTTATGAATTTTGTTTTTTCGGCCCCTGAAAAGTAAGGTTATGTATACAAATTTTACTATGAATTTATTTGTTATAGGTAAATTTAAAGACAGCAAGATAGCAAGATGTCAATTAATTTAACCGCTGATGGACCATGTGCTTTTGTTAAATTTTGCGACACGGGGCACAAAAAAAGGGTGTTGCTGTCGGAAATTTCAAATTTCGATGCAAAAACTTTCTCTCGAAACAAGAAATACTTTATTGAACGTGAGGGAGCAACTGCGCAATGCGTTGTTTCTTTTTTTGCAAGTAAATAATTAATTTTTAGTCTTGTATATAGTTATACAGGGTGATTCAGTTTTAACCTACCAGGGAAAAATGTTCCTCCCATTATCCTGATTCAGAAAAATATCACACATAAGTTGACAAAGAAAAAACGTTTTTTCGTCATATTTTCTATGAAAATGATAAAAATTAATCATAATTTTGTATACATACCTTTCATATGAAAGCCCTATTTTTGAAAAATAAAATTGTTAAAATTTGATACAACATTGGCGTGCAATGGGGCCACATCAAAATATAAAGAAAAAAAGTACGCCACAATATATGAGCTAAAGCAAAACGAAAATACAAATCCAAAAAAAAAAAAATTTGAAAAATCGCTGAAGGAAAAAAGGTATGAATGAAAATTTGCAAGATTATTTTGCGAAAGTTAAAAAGACAATATTAAAATAGTAATATAAATATATTCCCTAAAGGGACACTTTTTTTTGTTTTAGAAAAAGGATAAAAATTTCATCACCATCGTCATCCGATATTTTTGAAAACGAAAATGTCCAATAAATTTTTCATGTTTTGTAAATTGTATCTTTTATTTTAGAATTAATAATGGAAACCTTATGGAAAAATGATCGAAAAAGGATCGAGTTTCAATCCTGTTTTCGTGATCAAAAACGATATCGAACCTCGATCCTATTTAATCATAAAAACAGGATCGAAACTCGATCCTTTTTGATCACGAAAACAGGATCGAAACTCGATCCTTTTTCGATCATTTTTCATAAGGTTTCCATAATAAGTAAAAGTAGTACTATATACAACTTTTCATACTCTTACCTTATGACAGTAGTCTGAAAAGAGATACCCAAAAATGACTTATCCCCTTATTCCCCGAACCCACGGAATTATTGTTGTGAATATTATTTTATAAAATATATAACTGTTATTATTATAATTACGAATTTCATCATCATCGTCGTCGTCATCCGATTTTTTTGAAATACAAAGTGCCCAATAAAGTTTTCAAGTTTTGTAAATTGTATCTTTTATTTTAGAATTAATTATGGAAACCTTATGAAAAATGATCGAAAAAGGATCGAGTTTCGATCCTGTTTTCGTGATCAAAAAGGATCGAAACTCGATCCTATTTGATCCAGAAAACAGGATCGAAACTCGATCCTTTTTGATCACGAAAACAGGAGACAAAATCCTTATCAAAAATGATCGAAAAAGGATCGAGTTTCGATCCTGTTTTCGTGATCAAAAAGGATCGAGTTTCGATCCTGTTTTCGTGATCAAAAAGGATCGAAACTCGATCCTATTTGATCCAGAAAACAGGATCGAAACTCGATCCTTTTTGATCACGAAAACAGGAGACAAAATCCTTATCAAAAATGATCAAAAAGGATCGAGATTTAAACTCGATCCATTTTCGATCAGTTTTTTTCAGCAGGGTATAATTATTAGTTATTGTTGACTAATTCATTTTAAGAAAGTGTGATTTTTTTAAAATATTATTATCTGTTCCGCAATTTAGGTAGTACCCAAATTTCAAATTCATATTCGTCTTAAAATTGATTCATAAACGATAAATTATCGATATATTGGTTATAAATGGATCTGATGTTGGTTAATAACCAATTTCATGTAGATTTTATATCTAATAAATCATTATTAGTAACTCACATTCCCGCTAATTCTTTTAAAGGTTAAGTTAATAGGTAATTTTTTGCCAATCGAACAATTTTTGACGTTCTAGAGTTAAACATTTTGATACACTACACTTTAAACTTAATGAAGCTTCTTACGAGAATTATAAAATTTAAAAGCTCTAGCAAGAAAAATCTAACAGACTTGTATATACTTGCTTAGATTTGTATAGCATCAAACGAGATCTGTGCGCTGTTGCAATTTTTTGGATAGCGTATTCCTTAATTTCGAAAATACAGGTTATATGCAAAAACGATTGCAGCGCCTCTATGTTAATAACGACGAACTATTTTTACATACAAAATAGGTAAAAATACGGAAAGTCAGATCCGGCGGTTTTTGGTACTAAGCTCATGAGCGTACCCTAAATACTTAAAATAATTGACCCGTTCGTTGCGAGATCCGGCCTTTGGATCTCAGGATCTCATATTCCGCAAGTTTAACCATATACGGATCTCGTATTCCGCGGTCAGACATCTATATATATATAATATATATATATATATTATATATATATAGTTATGCCGGAAAGATAATTAAATTAAATATTTAGTATGTGCTTATTTGCAAAATGGTTTTAAAATTTAAAAAGATTTTATTATTAAACTAAATTAGGTTGAAACTCAAGACGAAAATTTAAATAAATGTAGGTAACTAATTTGTTTTTAATATATTATAAATTAATATTATATTAATATATATATATTGATTTTAACGAATTATGTACATAATTATAACCTACTTTTAAAATTCAAGCAAAAAACAATAATTGGAGTAAATTCCTTAAAATTGTTGTAAAATGTTGGCCACTCTTACTTAACTTCTTACTCAAATTTCTTGTAATCCACAAACTGGTGACCTTGACAAGGCAATGTAACACTATCCTCGTATCAAAAAAATTCGAACTCGATTTTAGCACTTTGTGAAAGTGTATCAAAGTCAAGTACCTATTGAACAAAATTTTACCACCCATTTTTTACATATAAAAGAAACTGCAACTATTGTTTAAGCATACACTCTTATTTAAAAAGTGGACAAGTCAACATGGCATTCAAAGTGAGTTGGATTTAAAGTGAACAAAGTGCTTTTATTAATAAGTGATTTTTTGTTTTTTCAGTTCGTAGTATTCGCCGCCTTCGTAGCCGTAGCCCGTGCTGGAGCTATCGGTTATGCTGCCGCTCCAGTGGCTTACTCCGCCGCCCCAGCTGTAGCCACCTCCTACTCTTCCATCGCTCACTCCGCACCAGTAGTGGCCAAATACGCCGCCGCTCCAGTCTACACTCAATCCTACGCCGCCCCAGCTTACTCTCACGGATACGCCGCCCCCGCCGTAGCCGCCTACGCTCCAGTCCACAAGACCATCATCGCCGAACCAGAAGCACCAGCTCACTACGACTTCGGTTACTCCGTAAACGACCCACACACCGGAGACAGCAAATCTCAACAAGAATCCCGTCAAGGAGATGTCGTCCACGGAAGCTACTCCCTCATTGATGCTGATGGCACCAAAAGAACCGTAGAGTACACCGCTGATGACCACAACGGATTCAACGCCGTAGTACACAAAGAACCAGCTCAAGTAGCCGTCAAAGCTATCCAAAAAGTAGCCGTAGCTGCCCCAGTTGCCTACGCCGCCCCAGTAGCTCACTACTCTGCCGCTCCAGTAGTAGCCAAATACGCCGCCGCCCCAGCTCTTTCCTACTACCACTAAATTTTTTAGTAATCAATTACTATTTCGCTAAGAAGGCAGATGCTATGTAAATAAATTATTTATTAAATAAAAGACTTATCACACACCAAATTTCGTTTTTACTTACAGTTATGTTTTCATATACCTTTCTTAACAAAGGCCAAGCCATACCGGGGGTGAAAAGAGTAAAGTATATAGAAAATAATGTTGTGGGTGACAAAAAAAATTATGGTGAAAGTTTGAGTCCATAATATTAATATTAAGAGGCGAGTTTTTGTCTCTGAACTCCCAAAACATGCTCTACAAAAAATGTTTGATTGGAATTTCCCGTCAGATGAACCGTTTTCTTACAATCATGCCTTAAAAATTTATATAGTTTTACAATTTGATCTTTTAATTTTGGAATTTTGTAATTTATGTAAAAATCAGTACCCATAAAAAACCGATAAATATTCTTATGGGAAATCAAACGCTCTACAAAAAAAGTCTTTTATTATTTTTGGCTAAATTCACTCCATCAAAAGTTATTCAAGGTTAAATTTGAAGTCAAAAAGAAATTTTAACCTTGAATAACTTTTGATTGAGTGAATTTATCCAAAAATGTTGAGAGGCTTTTTTTGTAAAGCATTTGATTTTCCATAAGAATATTTTTCGGTTTTTTATGGGTACTGATTTTTACATGAATTACAAAATTCCAATTTAAAAGATCAAAATGTAAAACTATAATTTTTAAGGCATGATTTTAAGGCAATGGTTCATCTGACGGAAAATTTCACTTTAACCTTTTTTGTAGAGAATTTAATTTTCTTAAAAAAATGTTTTCGAGTCAATTTTGTTAAACTGTTGTTTGGGAGTTCTGAGACAAAAACTTGCTGAGGAAAAAAAAAATTAAAATTGCGATGATAGATGGACTCAAACTTTCACAATAATTTTTTTTTTGTCACCCCAAACCATATTTTCGATATAATTTTCAAAAAAAAAAATAGTTGGTATTTTTGGCCGTCTAGTGCACAGCACCCGCACAGAGAAAAATCGGTTTGAAAAAAATTGCGCAACCTGCCATTGGAGCATAATTTTTTTTAATTGTGCTAAGTTATCCAAGATAGTAGGATTGGTTTTTCTAATTAGCTTGTCAATTTTTTATAATTTAACCATTTGCACAATATTGTTAAGAAAAGAGTTAAAATCTGTTGTTAAAAATATTTCAAAAATAAATGTTACTTTTGTTTACAACCTTTTTAAATGGTTCTTATAAATATAGTATAACTTTGAGTTAAAATATAAATTTTACAATATTGGACAATTTGTTTGGGTATGAAGTAACATTTAGCTGCAATCTGCATAATCAGTTTGCAGTTTTAGTTTGTGTTATGAAGTGGATCATTGTGAGATTAATACCACATTTCTAATGAGTAATCATTGAATATTATTTTTCCAAATAGGTAGGTAGGTACCTACTTGCAGGGACATAATAATGACCTGGTGATCAAATAAGGATAAAAAGTGTATCTATATTCCTACTGTGCTACATTTTCATCACCTTACTATTTACTTTAGTTTGTAATTTTTGTTTATTTTATGTTTTAAGTTTATATTAAGTTTATTCTCTCCTTACAAAATTTTTGTTCAGTTCACTGAATACATATTTAATATATCGACCTTTGTACTATTAGGTATCTTATGTTAAATTATATCTCAATATTATTAGAATTAGCTATACGAATTTTATTTTTCAGTTTGTAGTTTATGTTTTGTTATTTTGATTTTAAGTTTAGGAATTCCATTTTCCATATTTTTTGTTTAAGTCGTTGAATACATACCTATCTAAGTTAATAATATAGTTATATTTTCCTCACATCCCAAAAATTAATAAAATTTTTAAACAAATTGAAGAAATTATTTTCTAATCGACTATCCATTTTTGTAGAAATACGATGTTGCCCGAAGCATCTAAAATAAAAATAGTCAAAAAATCAAATTAAAAAAATATAAATCCCAAAATACCACCACTAAATAAAGTTTTTAAATATATAGGTACCTTACATAAACGTAAATTTTGGAGACCTATATTATAAACAACAATTATAAAAACCTTTTACACATAATCTGGATAATCAAAGTCTTACCAAAATTTCTTGTGGTCTACATACCGGCGACCTTGATAAGGCAATGTAATACATTTCTTGCTTTAAAATAATCCGAATTTTAGCACTGAGTGAAAGTAAATCAAAGTCGGGTAATAATTGTTTTAAATTTTAACACCCAATTCAAACTATAAAAGAATATGCGATTAGTGTTTAATCATACACTTTCATATTACAAGTGGACAAGTCAACATGGCATTCAAAGTGAGTTAAATTTGCTGTAAACAGGATGTTTGTAACTATAAGTATATTTTTTTCAGTTTGTAGTATTCGCCGCCTTTGTGGCTGTAGCCCGTGCCGGAGCTATCGGTTATGCCGCCGCCCCAGCTGTAGCCACCTCCTACTCTTCCATCGCTCACTCTGCTCCAGTTGTGGCCAAATACGCCGCCTCTCCAGTCTACACTCAATCCTACACCGCCCCAGCTTACTCTCACGGATACGCCACCCCCGCCGTAGCCGCCTACTCCGCTCCAGTCGCCTACGCTCCAGTCCACAAGACAATCATCGCCGAACCAGAAGCACCAGCTCACTACGACTTCGGTTACTCCGTAAACGACCCACACACCGGAGACAGCAAATCCCAACAAGAATCCCGCCAAGGAGATGTCGTCCACGGAAGCTACTCCCTCATCGATGCTGACGGTACCAAGAGAACCGTAGAATACACCGCTGATGACCACAACGGATTCAACGCCGTAGTACACAAAGAACCTGCCCAAGTAGCCGTCAAAACCGTAGCTAAAGTAGCCGTAGCTGCTCCAGTATACGCTAAAGTGGCCGCTCCAGTCGCTCACTATGCCGCTAGTCCAGCTCTTTCCTACGCTGCCCCAGCTCACTCTTACTACCACTAATAATTTTAGTGTTCGATTAGTATTATGGTTTGCTATGCAAACAGATGCAATGTAAATAAATTATTTATTAAATAAAGACTTATCAAACACTTTGTTTTTACTTAAACTAAAGCTATAGCTCGTTTGGAATATGCCCAAGATCACCAAAATTTTAACTCCAGTGGAGAAATGTGTTTTTTTCTAATAAAACACGAAGGGACCTCAGCAGAGATGATAACAGAATTAGAGGGAAAGGGGAGACCAGCAAAGTCTAGCTACCTGACAGGTACCTGTAGAAAAGTGGTGCCATATAAAGGAGGAAGTGTAGAAGAAACAGCCTTAATGTTCCTGGAACGATGACTTGTCAACTCTAGGCCCCCGAGGTAGGCCCTGATTTTATTTTTATGGACGATAATGGTTTCCCACATGACATAAAAGCTGTTCTAAGAGAGGGTCCACCGGTGATATTAAACTTACGAAGTTGCCAGCTAAATCTCCAGATATGAACATTATAGAACATGTCTGGGATTACGTCCAGGGCTATTCTACATCGCCTTAACCCTCCTCTCACCACGCCATAGCTGATTCAAGTTGTAAAGAGTTTTTAAATTTGTTTATGTAGGTATCACGTCATTAAGTCTGCGCCTTTTTATCATAAGCCATGATCTATGTATCGCTTTTTATAGTTTAACTGTTTGATATAATATAATATAATATAATATTATTATATGGATTGTGAATCTTTCGTATATAACCATGTAGGAAAAAACGAAGGGCCCAAGATTGACCCAGGTTTGTCCCCATTCTACACTACTCTGGCCCAAGATTTGAAGCCCGACTGGGCCAAGGTTGGGTGAGTCTTGAAATGATAACTTCTTGCCAAGCCTGGCATTGGGCTAAGGGCAGATGTTGAGTGCTAAAAACAGACCAAAGCTTGGGAGCCAAGGCTTGGTCTTGAAAGTCTGGCTGAAGCTAGTTCAGAGACTTGGAAACCAAGACTCGGTTTTGAAAGCCTGACTGCAGTCTTGAAAGTCTTACTAAAGCTAGGTCAGAGACTTGAAAGCCATAAATCGGTCTTGAAAGTCTGGCTAAAGCTTGGTCAGAGTCTTGGAAGCCAAGACTCGGTTTTTAAAGCCTGGCCGAGGCCCCTGAAGCCTCTTTAAAAAAGGGGTGATTCTCCCCCAAATTAACAGGTAAGATTTAGGAATAAGTTTTTCTCGTGTCATGGGGTGCTAAGGAATAGCCGGGCACCAATGAGTTGTTGGGACATTGTCGGAAAACTTTTTTCTTTTAAGCCCCTTTTTTACAAAATATTATTTATTATTATATATTTTCATAAATTAAACTTTAACCTTTTTATAAAATTAATTAAATTAATTCTATACAATGATTATTAAAAATTATAAGAATGTTAAACTTTGTCACACAATATTTAGATCAATAAATAGCATTCAATAAAGGTTTACTATTATGTAATTAAAATGAAATTATATAATTAAAGTAATGGTGCATTCACTATTTAAAAAAATTAATACTACGAGTAATAATATTTTCTTCAATACGTAAAATTATAAAATAATAACAAATATAACATAACTTGATTAAAAAAAAGTTAAGGTTATTAAATTGTATAAAGGTTAGTAATGTAATCCTAGATCTTGTTTTTAATTAAAACAATAAAAACTCGAAAAGGCTGTCTGTCTAGTGAGCTTAAATAGTTCACACATGTAAACAAATGAGATGAAAAACCAACCAATTGAATTTTAAAATAGTAAAAGACAAAATATACGCATTCAAGGCAATGTATTTTTATAACAATATAAAACTACGGATACACGTTTCATGTATTTTACTATTTTAAAATGCAATTGGCAGGCTTGCATCTATGCCCAAAAACACTATATAGTGTTTTTGTTTATATGCATAGGTCTTGTCTACACTGAAAAAAATAAGCAACAACAAAAATATTAATTCAACCCCCTTTATGCATTTTAAATACAAGCAATGGTTTTTGCACGTTTACTTAACCATCTAAAAATGTCAAATTGCATTGTTTAATTAAACAACAAATAACAGTCAAATGAACAAAATTTCTTGAAATGTCCAGGTAACCTTTTTAGCATATTCACTTAACACCAATGAAATGTTAAATTATAATAATTTGCGATAATGTTCCAAAACGGTTGGGTTAACATTCTGAAAATGTAAAAGTAAAATTCTACAGGGTGTCCCACAATTAGTGCGACAAAATGAAGGTGTATTATCTACAGACCCCCAGGAATTCCAGAAAATTGTTTAAAAAATTTTCCCTTCATTATTTAAAAATATACAGGGGAGTCATGTTTTCTTTGTATGGCAACATTGCCTCATAAAAAAGTAATAGTTTAATTTTTAATCATCATGACAACAAACAACAATGTTAACATGATGATTAAGAATTAAACTATCCCCTTTTTTTGAGGCAATGTTGCCATATAAAGAAAATATGACTCCCCTGTATCTTTTTAAATAATGAAGGAAGAATTTTTTAAACAATTTTCTGGAATTTCTGGGGGTCTGTAGATAATACACCTTCATTTTGTCGCACTAATTGTGAGAAAGAATTGAACCCTCACCTCGCCAAAGTTTTTGTTTTGAATGCGTTCCACCTACTATAAATACCGACAGACAGCTGTTTCCACTGTGGAACACACCCAAAAAAAACGGCTACCTGAGCTTAAATACCTTATATCGTAAGCCAACTGTGGCGAGATGTAAGAACACGTGATCAACACCGTCTAATGACGTGGCGTGGGTGTTCGAAGCGCCCTTCACGGCAATTTTATGAATGCAAATTTAACATTTTAAAGTAACATTTACAATTTGTTAAATGAACAAATTTATTGTTTTGGATTAAAGAGGAACTAAACGTTAATTTAATAGTTTTTTTTAGGTAATCCTAAAAATTTCAGTATTTGATTCAACCAATTCCAGCTATCAAATCAAAATAGGATAAACATTTTAATTCAAAAAATTATTTTGAACAAATAAACTTTGACAAACACTGACTATTGCTTTGACACCAAAATATAGATTAATCCAATAGGTTTTTTGATGAAACAACATTTTCAAAAATGACATTCAGGTAAACGTTAACTCAACTACATTATTTTTTTCGGTGTATACCACAAATAAATGACTTACCTGTAAGGTTAAGAGAATCTGATTTATGTTATGAAACTCAAAAAATGTTAACCCACACCAAACTGAAATAATCATTTTTCGTGTTTTTTTTGTTTTCTTTTCGTTGCTTCTTCTGAATATTATTCTAGTAGAAATAATAAAAAACAGTATCTTTACATAACATACTATCTTAATATAATTTTCACCTTAGTTACACAACTTAATTTCTTTATTTATTTTTTACATATTATTACAATTATAAATAGCATTAAATAAAAATGTAATTGCTTTAAGTTATAATTTATAATTTTATTTTTTTATCATTTTAAAATTTATACAACAATATGTACAACCTCAATAACAATATCTTTACACAACATTAAACTTTTTATATTCAACTTTTAGAAAACAAATGAAAAATAAATCTACATTGTTGAAGAATACAAATAAAAAATAAAAAACAGTTACTTTACACAATATCTTTATTTTATTAAAATATAAAATAAAAATCTAATAATAATTTTTTGCTCTAGCATCTAAAAAGATTGTTTTGCTTCATCAGATAAATTTACATCTTAAGATAAACTATTTAAATTTTGAATTTTTAATGCATTTTCATTATAAACTGCGCACCACTCAATGTGTCGCGACCAAAAAGTTCGTTCTTTTTCAAAACGACATAACTTTTTTGTTTCTTGAAAGTTTTATTTTGGTTTGTGATGTCTACTAGCCTCATTCTCTGGCAATTTATGCTATAGATATGAATCTCACGGTTGGTCAAGTAAATTTCCTACAGGGTGATATGTTAAACAGTGAAAATTTTCAATAACTTTATCCAAGCCCCGTCTGTAATAAAATAATTTTTTTTTTCGTTTTTACTTTGAAATAATGAAGTATTATGTGATACCTTGAAACCTTTTTCAAATTTTTCGAATTGGAATCTTAGCAACGAAAATATGATTTTTTTTTTCAAAAGAGTACATTTTAGGCTTTTTTTTAGGCAATACACTCAGTCTTTTTAGGAACAAGAAGATAAGATGGTGAAAGATTGTTCCTTAAATAATTCTGAAAAAGCGACAAGCAACAAACTTCCATTATTCTTAGAGGGCCTCAGCTAAGACCACTTTTTGAAAATGACATTTTTGTGAAAATTTGCAAAAACTAAACCTAAACCGATATTTACTTTCGTAATATGTTTTCTTCATAATTTTGACCTCCTGATTGTGATTCAGTTGTCAAATTTAAGTCTAAGATAAAACCAAAATCACTAAGAATCAAGATTCGAAAACAATTCCTGGCTGTTAAATGTGTCAATAAAATCCGATTGCTAGTTTTTACCGTTTTTTTACATATCGTAAATGAGTATTTAAGGGACCACCATATTGAGAAAATTAATTGGTCACCTTTGTCTCCGGATATGAATCCCATTGAGCATGTGTCGAGCAGGATAAAATTGAAGATGAAAGAGAGGGAAGGAGGCATAAAAAATTTGGATGAATTGGTAAATGCTATTCAGGAAGAATGGGGTACCCCAGAAATTTCTAAGGAACTTGGTCGAGGGAATGCCCAGGAGGGTTAACGAATTATTACGGCTTAGGGGAGGGCCAACGAAATATTGAAAGGTATTATTGTTATTGTTTGTTACATTTTTCTGTTGTATGTTGAAGTTTTGATTATGATTATATCTACGCATACAATTTTCAAAAATGAACAAAAATATTTGTATTTAACTTCATTACCAATTAGGTACTGCGCAATGTAAATGTAAGTTATGTAACATTATCCTAACCACTCAAACAAATTGCAGTAATTTCGCCCAAAAAATGAATTCCCAAATGGCATTTTCATCATAAATATGCAAGAAACACGACAGCAATCGGATTTTATTAAGACATTTAACAACAGGGGGATTTTATTAAGACATTTAACAACAGGGAATTGTTTTCGAATTTTGATTCTTGATGATTTTGGTTTTATCTGAAACTTAAATTTGACAACTGAATCACAATCAGGAGGTCAAAATTATAAAGAAAACATGCCACGAACGTAAATATCGGTTCAGGTTGAGTTTCCGCAAATTTTCACTAAAATGTCATTTTGAAAAAGTGGTCTTTGCTTAGGCCCCTCTGAAAATAATGGAAGTTTGTTGCTTGTCGCTTGTTCAGAATTATTCAAGGAACAATCTTTTACCATCTTATTTTCTTGTTCTTAAAAGACTGAGTATATTCCCTACCAAAAAGTCTTAAATGTACTCTTTTGGAAAAAAAATCACATTTTCGTTGCTAAGATACCAATTCGAAAAATTTGAAAAACGTTTCAAGGTAACACATAATACTTCATTATTTCAAAGTAAAAACGAAAAAATTATTGTTTTACAAACGGGGCTTGGATGAAATTATTGAAATTTTTCACCGTGTAGAAAATTTACTTGAAGAACCGTGTGTTTAATATCTATAGAATGAATTGCCAGAGGATGGGGTTAGCAGACATCACAGACCAAAATAAAATCGTTCAAGAAACAAAAAAGTTATGTCGTTTTAAAAAAGGACGAACTTTTTGGTCGCGACACATTGAGTGGTGCGCAGTTTATATTAAATTAATAAACCATTGCTTATAATATTAAAAGATACCAAAAACTACAAGTAAATTATCCAAATAACTTATTTACCACAAATAAAAACACTGTATTTTAATCAAAGTAATAAAAGATATGTGACCAAAATTGTTATGTTAGAATAAATACTAATTTTTGTAACTCTTCATCCAATCTCTTGGTACCTTGGAATGCCAAGGTTTTAAGTGCAGCAGCACTGTTAAGAAAAAATGCAATATTAAATATTGCAGGTACGGCATTTTCGCTTAACAGGGCAACTGCACTTTTAAGGTACCGTTTTGACGATTATTAATTCCAAAGATGGAAATATAAATGTTAATAAGTTGAACAGAAGATGAAAACATCTTAATTTTTTAATTAATTTTTTACCTAGAGTGATGAAAACAGTTTTATCAACCTAAGAAATTGGCATATTGACTATATTAACACACACCGTTAGAATCAAAATTTGAAAAAAAAAATCTCAGTAATTAATATTTCAAAGACAAAAACTTTGTCCTCGAATTAAATTGTTAATTTGTTGCATAAAACAACAGTATAAATTCTTATTATTGTCAAAATTTTTTTTTTAATAATCGAGCCCATTGCATTTAAACTAGTCATATGATTTGGCATTAAGAGAGTGATATTTGTCGGCGATTCGATTATGTTTAATTTGACACCTTTTGCAACCAGATTGGCCATTTATAACTCGAGATATGAGGGTGAATATAATGTAGTGTCCCCCAAGTGAAAATGATTATTTTTATTTTTGGTTGTTTCACTTGTAATAACATAACATAAGTGGTTCTGCAATAATGCAAGAATTTTAAGAAATCATACATTTTGAATATTAGAGATTCACCGAAGATAGCTTTACGGAGGTTAGGATTTCGTATGTTTTTTTTAAACATCCCTTTGTATATTTGAAATAAGTTATTGTATCTTTTGACAATTTTTTAAAAATACAATTTAAATTGTACATACATAAAATATTTATAAAAAAATCTACTTACTGAGATATTACACTTCACGGTGGATAGGTTTTTAAATAGCAAATTAATGAACTTAAACTTTTGAATTATAAAATAGCAACACTCTCATCTGCATATAAATTCTAACTGAGCTTCAGGAATCACTTGCATCTATAATGTCGTAAACAGAGGTTTTTGCTTATTTAAAATGATTAAAGCGCCATCCGTTGCATACAATTTAAAGCAAAAACAGATTCACGGAGGATAGAATCAATTTTTATAGCACCTACATAAATGGTTATAAGAATTATTTCTTTTAATTTTTAATAATATTTTATATTTGATTCGTTTGCTTTGGATGTGTTTAATTTACTTAATCAACTGATATTTTAGTATCCTTTTACTACCTCAAATATTTGAAAACATATAGGTTAACCTAGAAAGATTTACAGTCACGGAGGATAGGTTTTATCATTTAACATTTTAAAAAATAATTAATTGCGGTTAAAAATCTGGAACTTGAGCTGTAATATCTACTTAATTATGAAAGATTAAAACACAATAAAAGTGTAGCTTAAACTCATTTAGTTTTATTAATTGTCACGGGGTAACACCATCGGGGGACATTTCGTGAGATTCACCCATGACCAAAATTGTTGAGATAAATTTGAAAAACAAATGCCTTAAAATCAAATTTTATTGTGATTTTCTAGTTAAGCATACCAAAATCCATTACATACATAAAATTTTGTAACTGCATCTTATTCGTAGATGATTTAAAACTATAAAAGGAAGTAAAATCAATTAAAGACTGTTTCTTAATTTAAGATGATTTGCACATCTTGGAACGATGGTGTGAGGTTAATTATATTTAACTAAATGTAGCTAAATGCAAAGTTATCAACCTTTGTAGATCTAAAAAATGTATTAAATTTCCATATAGTTTAAAAAAGTTGTTAATTAAAGACTTGGGTGTGCATTTTAATTTAAAAGTATCTTTTAATCAGCATATAAATATGACTGCAAACAGGGCCTTAAAAACTTTTTATAGGCAGAAATATGAAAGAATTCAATGTTACCTGTATAAAATATGTGTATATGTCATTTGTCCGAAGTGTCCTTGAATAATGTTGTGTCATATGGACACCATATTACGCATGCCATAGTAACTTGATTGAGAGAGTCCAGAACAAGTTTCTTCGTCATTGTGTTTTAGGACTCAATATTCCTACTGAGGAAATAGTGTATTCTCAGATAAGGCATTTATTGGGTCTTGATCCATTGACCGCCAGGAGGGAAAAAGCTAGGGCATACTATACACTACAGTAACTCTCTAAGCAAGTTTGAAAGTAAGTGTAAACAATTTGTTTAGTAATATTTATATGTAATTTTTCTAATTAAAATTTTATTTATATTTTGTAATGGTTTAACCGTAAAAAAATGTATTATTATTATTAAAAAAATAGTGGATCCGACTGTAAATTTCTTTTTTATTAATTTATAAACCAGTGGTATTTGGCTGAGAAAAATAGTACAAAAATCAAAATCTTTTTAAATTTTTGACAAAAAAAAATGTAGTTCATTATTTTATTCGAGTGGTTTAAAATAAAAATTAACTTGGGGCGGCAAATCTCAATTCACACAGGCAGTTAAACAGCCACGGCCGGCCCAATTTGTATATATATATATATATATAAATATATTTAAAATATCCACACGACCTAAAAAATTATTAAATAAAAAATTATTTAATAAGCAAGAACAATATTAAATACTTTACACTTAATATTTAGATAATATTATTCAATAAAATTATTGGCAATTAATGATCTAGTTTAGTGAAAGTAAATCAAAGTCAAGTTTAATAATTTCGTGACGTGTTACTTACCTTGTTGCATTTAACTATATAAAGTTAGACCACTTAAAATTTAGGCATACACTAAACTAAGTGGAATCAGGAAACATGGCATTCAAAGTAAGACCAGTGATAATTCGAAACCATTGTATTAATTACTTTAATTAAAATACTGATTTTTATTTCTTTTTTCAGTTTGTAGTATTCGCCGCTTTCGTAGCCGTAGCCCGTGCCGGTGGTTTGGTGGCCCCCACTTACAGTAGCTACGCTGCTCCAGCTGTAGTATCCCACGGATATGCCGCCCCAGCCTACGCTCACGCCGCCCCAGTGGTAGCCAAATACTCTGCTGCTCCAGCTGTAGCCACCTCTTACTCTTCCATCGCTCACTCCGCTCCAGTAGTAGCCAAATACTCTGCTGCTCCAGTCTACACTCAATCCTACGCTGCCCCAGCTTACTCTCATGGATACGCCGCCCCAGCCGTAGCCGCCTACGCCGCCCCAGTTGCCAAAGTAGCCTATGCTCCAATCCAAAAGACCATCGTCGCTGAAGCTCCAGCCAACTACGAATTCGGTTACTCCGTAAACGACCCACACACTGGAGACAGCAAATCTGCCCAAGAAACCCGTCACGGAGACTCCGTACAAGGATCTTACTCCCTCATCGACGCTGATGGCACCAAGAGAACCGTAGAATACACCGCTGACGAACACAACGGATTCAACGCCGTAGTACACAAAGAACCAGCTCAAGTAGCCATCAAAGCCGTAGCCAAAGTAGCCGTAGCCGCCCCAGTTTCCTACGCCACCCCAGTAGCTCACTACGCTCACGCCGCTCCAGTAGTAGCAAAATACGCCGCCGCTCCAGCCGTAGCCACCTCTTACTCCACCGTAGCTCATGCCGCCCCTGCTTACGCTCATTACGCTCAAGCCGCTCCAGTAGTAGCCAAATACTCTGCTGCCCCAGCCGTAGCCACCTCTTACTCCACCGTAGCTCATTCCGCCCCGGCTTACGGTCATTACGCTCAAGCCGCCCCAGTAGCCCATTTCGCCGCTGCCCCAGCTGCTCACTCTTACTACCACTAAATTTATATTTAAGCAACCCTGCAAATGCTATGTACCTAAATATTTATTTTAAAATAATAAAGTTATAAATTATATATCCTGTTTTTTTAAATAATATGTTAATTCTTTAAAATTATAAATTTTTAATAATTATAATAATTATTAATACTAATGAATTTATTTTAAATACACAATCTTAAAAGATTTTTGAAAATTATAAAGTAAAATAATTTAAAAATTATATATTTTTTTTTATTACAATAAATATTAAATTTAATTATTAAACATGCAATTAATTAAGCACGATTAAAAGCAGATGCCTTAGTTAAAGAAATTACAATTAATTTTTTTAAAGAACGCATGTTTAATAAACATTATTTATATTCCTTAAAAATTATTTTAACATTACAAAAAATGCTACCTATTGTGCTTTCGTAAGACGTTATGTGTACAGTGTGTACACTGTACACTATAGTTTTCTTTAAATTAAATCAATCAACTTAATGTTTGTGTCACAAACATTGTGATGCGCTGCGAAGATAGTCAAATATTTTTTTGTATTTGGACTTATTTGAGTCCGTAAAATAATTTTATTCCGGGCGCAAAAAGTACCATAGAAACTTTTATTTAGGTAAAATGTTTCAATAAAAAAATTATACTTTAATTAATGTAAGGTACAACAATCTAAATTAATTATTAGTTTGTAAGTTAAATTAATAATAACACAGTGCAACAGCAAAAAAAATGATGGGGTTCTAAAAGTTGTTTTCGTTTCTTCTATCCAAAGAATTTTTGCGTTTACAGAATGTTTAAATTGATTGAGGTTGTTTTTAATATCGATTTTAAGGTTTATTAACTTTGGAACCCGAAAAACCATTATTTATTAATTTAAACCAATTAACTGGTAGGAATCTGTTGTCATGACAATAAATTAAAAAGAAATAATAAAAAATAAAAAAAAATTAAAAATGGGTGTAAACATGTCACTAAAAGTACATTTGCTCCATGCACATCTTGACCTGTTCGAAAATCAGCTGTCCACCGAATCATAAGAACATCAAGCAATAATGGAAATGGAAAATCTTTATAGAGGAAAGAGGTTTGATTCGATGTTGGCAGATTTTTGTTGGTCTATGGCAATGGAAATTTTGGCATAAAATTGTAAATTAAATTTGTTATATCTTTTATGTTGATTCATTCTATTTGTTAAAAAAAATATGTTTTTAATAATTAATATAATAATAATAATAATTACCATAATTATTATTATGGGAGAAGCGAAAGAACTAAGAAATTGCACTACAACATATTAAATTCAGAAAAAGGTTAAATTTTTTAAAAAAATTGCATTTTATTGTTCTCATTATTTTTTTATTTAATTATTTTTTTCTTTATTTGATTGTTATTACTTTATAAAATACTATACAAAACCAATAATTATCTTTATCTCCACGCGGTCTATAATTTAAACTTTATTGTTGTCAACATTCAATAAAGAAATACCTTGTTATGGCCTAGGCCAATTTTTATGAGGCAAGTAATTAGTTCGATTTTTTCTCGCTAGGGGTATGGTTTTTGACAAATTAAACCTTTTCTAAGAAATTAACGTACTAAACTGGTTTAATTTATTTATAATAAGCACTAATTTGTTTGTTTTACTGTTAATAATTAATATTTTTCATTAAATTATTGTAAAATTAAATATGAATAATAAAACAAAAAGTGAGGTTAGGCAACCAAGAATACGCACGATTCTTTTTCTACGATTTAAATTATCTTTAAGTTTTAATTTGCTTTAAGTTTTCAAAGAAATTAAATGTTAAACACAGCTTAAAAATTCCAAACTACCTATTTTTTAAATAAAAATCCAAACAAATTAAAATTAGATACCTACCTATTTATTAAACAATTAATTGAATTCAATGTAATAGCAAAAATCCATTTCTACTTAAATCATGTTAAATAATAAATCTTGTACATTTAATGTAATCTTTAGCTTATAAATAAATGAGATTCTAAAAAAGTGAGGTTAGGCCGCTTTGATGTTGAATTAAATTGACCGGCCAAGAAGTGCATTTTTGTGCTTCGCTCAATTGAGCTTAGCACAAAAAGCCTTACTTCTTAACCTAATGACATAAATAACTATTTATGTACTAATTATTTATTATTTTACTATATTTCGGGATCCAGAATTACTAAAACTTTAAATTGATATAAAATAAACCAGAATCAATCTAAACATTCTGTAAACGCTATAATTCTTGGTTTTGATTGTAGAAACCGAAAATACTACAGAACCCCGCCATCTTAATTTTTTTCCGAAAATGTAGCACAGTGTAATTAGGCTTCAGAATAAAAATGAAATAAACAATTATAAGCACCTTAAAACTAGTATCCTCAAATACGAGGGTATCGTGTTAATTTATTTTGATGTTGTGGTAGTAGCTTCTGTAGTACCTAACCGATATCATGCCGAACTTCGCAGAACCTTGCCAAAGGCCCTGTATACTGTGTCATGTTCGCTAGTTTAAGAAATTCAGTAACGATATAGGCCATTTCTCCAAAAGAATGAATTCCCACGATTTTTACGAATGAAATAAAAAATAATCCTGTTTAACATTATCTGGTCGTAGTCAAACATATTTTTGGTACACTTCCATGGAATTAACAGCTTAATTTTCAGATACCATTAAAAAGACTCTCTTTATGTTGGTCTTTGTATCGGGAATTGTTATAAGAAGACGTGTGTCTTTTTAGACAATATCTTGTACACACGCCAATAAGAAAAGCAACCCACGAAATTAAATATGTCATTAAAGAAAACTTACTTTGATTAATAAATACTTCTCATCGTCTGAATTTATCAAAAATGTATTAATTTCTTGTCGCGTAAAAACTTTTGACTTTGTAGTCTACGATACTGAATTTCGCTTTAAAAAAGCTATGACCTGCGAATTTGTTTAATTCTATATTTTCTTTAACTTTAGCTTATAGTATTGAATATTTTGGTTTTACTTTTTGCGACTGTAATAAAAAATACGAAAATAGTCATAATAATAATAATTAACATATATTATTAATATTGAATGTTAAGAATATCGGCACTAACCTTTTTATGTAAATACTTCAACATTGCATCTTTGGCCACAATTACAATGTTGTTCATTTCTTGCCATAGAATAATGCTTTATTTTTCTTTTCATAAATTTGAGGAGATTTTACTGAAAGTAAATCTAGCACAATTTCGATATAATTTGTGGATTTTGCATTTTATACCGCGAAAAAAACCGCGTCAATTTTTTTGTTTACATTAAACAATATTATTACTATAGTAACTACAGAGCTGGTCACGAGTACTAAAAAAAGTATTCGTAAAATTTTAAGTACGAGTACTTAAAATATTTACTCGTAAGTACTTTAAAAAATTTTCTCTTAAGAGAGGTTACGGTTACGAGTAGTAATCTTGAAAACACGAGTAAAGAGTACGAGTACTTTTGAAGAAAAAAAAGTTAGTTAATATAATTGATTATTCTTTACTAGTCAAAAATGACCAATTGTCATAGCCAGAATTCTCGTCAATAGCAATTTGTATTTTTAACATTTAGCAGTCAATTTCCATGTAACATTGTTAACTGAATCCGTTTTTGAGATATAGTGCATTTTCCATTTTCCATATAATATGGAATTGACCATATCTCAAAAACTGCTCCACTTTCATAATTTTTGACGGTATTTTCACTAATTTCCACTAATAACTGTGATAATTAGTCATTTTTGACTAATTCATTTTTACTTTGGTCCTGAGCTATAAAAATACAAATGCAAATTTATAAAATTATTCATTTTAAACATTATGTACATAAAATAATAACAATGCTTAAATAGTATATAATTTTACCTATTTACTTGTTATAAAACCTATAGACTATAATACATTATATACATTATATTATATTATACTAAACATTATATACTGTATTATATTATATTATACTAAACATTATATAATTTAAAACAGACTTCCAAACAAAATGTTTTAATGCTTACGATATTTTGGCGAAAAGTCATCCATATAATAAACGAAAATACTCGTATATATTACTCGTGAATTCTACGAGTATTTTTTACGAGTACATTAAATTTGGTTTTTAAGTACGAGTAATAAGTATTACAAATGAAAATTACTTATGAGTAAAAAAGTACTCGTACTTTTTTATTCGTAATTGAAATACGAGTAAAAGTACTCAGTACTTGGCCAGCTCTGCTATAGTATCTATTTATATTGATATGGTCGCGTGTTAATTAAAATTCAAACTTTAACAAAAAAAAAAGTTGTTTGTAACACGTATCTAAAATCAGTTTTTTGGGCTTTATCGACAGCTAGATTTGTCCCAAAAACATGATTTTAGAAACTAATACTTTTAATATCTTTAGGTATTCTATAACTTAAGCTTTATTATTGTCAACGCTCCCTACCAAAGTATTCGATTATCTCCCACACTGTGAAAATAATTTAGACCAATCAGGTGAAGTTTTTTACATCCTAGACTGTAAAAAACCCATAAGGACCAATAAAAAAATCGATAATTGCTGACAGTTCTGATGCTATCTAACCTCACTTTATACTTTTAATAATTGTTATTATAATTGTGAGTACAATTTTTCCTTACACTAGGTTCGTTTAAAACAAGTTTTATGAAAGATTAATTATAATAATCAATAATTATTGAAACGCACCACTAAAAATTTTCCACAATTGATTTTCTCGCAAACCGTCAAACCGAATTTCGTGATTTTTTTATTAAATTGCAGGTTAATTCTTGGGTAATAATACTTTTATTGAAATATTTTTTTAAATTTACATTTTGAGTATATACAGGGTGTATGAGTGATAATAAGTTTTTTCCCGGAAGTTTGAAACGCCCTGTGGGTTGTACCAGCTTTAACAGCCTATGACTTATATAATTAAACTGTAGCCCTATATTTTCCTAACATTTTATTTTTTGATTCACATCGCTATC